GGAGCTGCTGATGAAAACGGTCACCGTGGGCGCCGACAGCCCCGTCACCTCCATCGCGCCGCGCCCGCCGGGGCCCACAGCCCGGTCCAGCCGCCTCACACCGGCTCCGCAGCCGCCGCCGCTGCTTTCTGGGATATCCGCCCCGCCCCCTGCTTCTGGGCTATCCGCCCCGCCCCCTGCTCCGGACCAGACCAATCCGCACTCTCCTGGAAGGGGGGCCCACCAATCGCCGCTGTCCCTTCTCCACCGCCAGGAGGGGCTCTCCCGTATTCCCGGGTAGGCCCAGCCAATCCCGAGACGCCTTCCAGAGTTCACAGTTCTCCCAATAGCGGCCCGGCAAACGGCCAGGGCAGGCGGCGGTGGCTGAAGCCGAGAGCAGGAACTGGCGAGGGTTAGCCCTGTCCGAAAGGGCTAAGCTTGCGCGCGTGCTTGGCCTTCAGCCAGGCAAAAGGCCGTGGCTCCTTTCTTTCATGCTCAGAGCTTGCGTCGTTTGCTCGACTCCAGCGCCAGACACCTTCTATTCTGTAAACGGGGGGCGGGGGGGACGAGGTCGGAAGCGATTGTCCTAGGATAATCAAAATACTGAAGTCATCGGTCAGACCCCCGCGCGGAGGGAGCCGAGCGCACGTGCGCAACTCCGCCCCTCTTTTGGCGAAGCAACTGGGCCTGACCCTTCCCGCGCCCTGTAGCGCCGCGGAGGCGGCTCAGAGGGCCCGGCGGGCCGCGCGTCGCCATGGAGCCCGATGGGACCTACGAGCCAGGGTTCGTGGGCATTCGATTCTGCCAGGAATGGTGAGGCCTGGGACACCGGGGTGGCGGGCTGGGGAGGAAGGAATGTCTCCGGGCCTGACCTGGACCCGCCCCGCCCGCAGTAACAACATGCTGTATCCCAAGGAGGACAAGGAGAACCGCATTCTGCTCTACGCGGTGAGCGCGCGTCCGCTGCGGCCCGGGTCTTTCCCGACGGGCCCGCGCGCCCCCAGCCCTGCTCCGTGTGGCTCGTGCTCCCTGCCCGCCCCCAGCCATCCCCGAGTGACCCCGACTCCGGCCTCGTCCCCCCCCGCGGCGACTGGCTTCCAGACCCCGCCCGTCGTCCTCCTCCCCCTCCCGGGCCCGACGGGCTCCCTCCGTGACCCCTCCTCCCGCACTCGCCCTCTTGCAGTGCCGGAATTGTGATTACCAGCAGGAGGCCGACAACAGCTGCATCTACGTCAACAAAATCACGCACGAAGTGGAGTGAGTGGCCGAGCGGAGCTTGGGGGAAGGGTGCTGGCCCTGGAGGCCTGGGCCGAGCATAATCGTGCGTCCCTCATCCCGGCAGCGAGCTGACCCAGATCATCGCCGACGTGTCCCAGGACCCCACGCTGCCGCGGACGGAGGACCACCCGTGCCAGAAGTGAGCGCGCGACCGGTTTTGGGGAGGGAAAGAGGCTCAACCCCCACTGAGCGCGCAAGGGCGGCGGGAAAGGCGTCAGGCGGCGAGCGACAGAGCTGTCCCCTTAGGTGCGGCCACAAGGAGGCGGTGTTCTTCCAGTCACACAGCGCCCGGGCCGAGGTGAGTGACCGGAGGACTTCCCGAGTGTCTGGGGCTTGGGCCTTCCCAGGATGAAGACACCAGTATGGGGGTGACCATGCCCTTCCCAGAATCCTGGGCTGAACCTTTACCGCTTGAGAAAGTTCTCTCGTCTGTTCTTTTGGGGTGCAGTTCGGCTGTTCCCTGCTGTGCCTTCCTAACGATTTGCTCTTTCTGCCAGGACGCCATGCGCCTGTACTATGTCTGCACGGCCCCCCACTGCGGCCACCGCTGGACTGAGTGACACCCCCCTCTCCCCCGAGCCTAATAAATGCCAGGATTTGTGCACGAGCTTCCTGTATTTATTAGTCTTATGGGGAGAATGCTGGTACATGGTCTCAGGCGGTGCGATGCAGAGCCCGGTGCTGTGCGTAGGCCTCAGGCCGGGAGCAGGTGAAGCCACAGTCCTCACACACGTGCAGCTTCTCGCGGCGCTCACGGTAGCCATAGCTGGCTGGCTGCCCGTGCACCTTAGCAAGGTGAGCTTCGAGGGAGCATCGTTGTGTAAATGCTTTCCCGCAAGAACTGCAGCGGAATGGCCGGATTCCTGCATGCATGGGACATGAGACAGAGAGGACAGTGGCCTCTGTACTAAAGCCTCTCTACCTTACCTTCCAACGTCGCGCATTTCTGGTCCCTCTTCCAAGCTCTTCAGCCCTTACCCCATGACCTGCCATCTGCTACCCCCACCCAGTACAAACATGGACCAGATACCTATGTCCCTACTCTCCCCCACCAGGATGCTCCTTTCTCTGGGGGTGAGGGAGGGAGGCCTTCCCTTATATCCTTCAATCTGGGGCCTGAATCCTATAATCAGCCCCCATCTTTACACCCCTCGGTAGGCTCCTGCCCTGGTACCACCTTACACCCACCCGCTGCGGTACGCTGTCTCAAGCCTTCCATTAGCTGTGTCGCCAGCCCACATAGACAAATACCGGAAATTCCACCTCCTGGTACCTTTCTCCATTTTGTTCCATCCCTGCCTGGGGCCCAGCAGCCTCTCCCAGTTCCTGCCACTGCTCACCAGTGTGAGTCCTCATGTGGCGCTTGAGATCGAAGGCGTCGTGAAAGCCCTTGCCACAGCAGTGGCACACATGGCGGCGCGCCGGGCTGTGGCACTTGAGGTGCCGCGTCAGCATGCGTTGCAGTGGGAAGGCTTTGGGGCAGAGCGGGCAGCCAAGAGTCCCTGGGCCTCTGGGAGCAGAGGCCAGGGTGCCCTGCATGGGCTGCAGAGGGATGCAGAGTTAGCTCCTCTGGCAGGACCCTCCCCACCCTTTGTTACTCTGCAAACAAGTGTTTCTGGAGGAGTGCCCGGAGCCAAGGGGGAGCGGTGGTATGTGTACATGCCACTCTCTCCAAGGCCTTCCCTGACCATCCCCCATCATCCTCACCTTACTTGATATTTCTCCATAGCAAGTATCATCTTCCAATGTA